GGAGACCCCGGGGAACCCTTATGAGTGGGAATAAATATATGTACATGTGACAAAGGCCAGCAGAGCGGGCCGGGGATTGTGAAGTACATAAGCACATGATAGAGAGGGACAGAACGAGACCGGTCTGTGTGAATAACTCCCTATAGTGCAGCTCAACCAGAAGAGCTGTAGCATACTAGACTGCTAGTAGTTTAGCCTGCAAGGCGGGAACTTCCAGATTGTAAAATCTGACAAAGGTGGAGGGGGAAGCCCATCCCGCTGCCACACAAATATCATGAATGGAAATTCCGCTGGACCATGCCCACGATGAGGCCATGCCTCTAGTGGAATGAGCCCTGATGCCCAGAGGGCATGGCAGGTCTTTTGATGCGTATGCGGCTGCAGTGGCATCAACTATCCATTTGGATAGAGTCTGTTTCGAGGCGGCCGACCCCTTGGTGCGCCCACCGAACGAAGCAAAAAGCTGCTCGGATCGTCTGACCGGAGCAGTGCGAGTAATGTAGAATCTCAGGGCCTTGACGGACACAGGAGATTAGAGTCAGGGTTCAGCGAACGCTGCGACGGCTGCCACATACACCTTGAGAGTGGACGGGGACCTGCCCTTGTCCAACATCTCTTGGAGAAAAACTAGCAAGGAAGGAACCTCGCATGACCGTGGTTCCAAGTTTTTGTTGCTGCACCATTTAGAGAACACAGACCATTTAGACGCATAGAGCCTTCTAGTAGAAGCCGCTCTAGCCTGCATGATCGTGTTTAACACTCCCTCTGGCAAAGCAACGGGTAGTCGTTGACCTCATTTGTCCATACTCTCCACTAAGAACTCTTAGATCATCTTCTGAAAAATTATTAACTATCCCTCGCTCTCGCTTAAAGTCGAAAGGTGATAGAGCTTTTTCCGTTTTGGGTCCGAGGCTGTGGAATTCGTTACCTCAATCTGTTAGGTTAGCTTCCTCTTTATATGCTTTCAAGTCAGCTTTGAAAACACATCTTTTTTCTCTGGCGTACTCATAACTGTGGATATGTAGCCTTAGTGAGTTAAAATTTTATACTATGAAATTTGTACAATGTTTGTTTTTATTGTGTTTTTATTTTATGTTTTTGTGAAGCACCTTGGTCAGCAGAAATGCTGTTTTAAGGTGCTATATAAATAAAAGTGACCTTGACCTTGACCTTGATCACCCACGCATGTAGCGCCCAGCGCTCTGAGTGGGGATGCCAGATCGTGCCGCGAGCTTGGGAGAGGAGATCTGTTCTGACTGGGATGGGCCACGGGGCTGTCTGTGACAGCTGAGTGAGCTCCGGAAACCAAGTCTGACCCTCCCGACGCGGGGCTATGAGGAGCACCGAGTGGCGTGTTTCCCTGATTCTCTGAAGCACCTGTGGTAGCAGAGAAACCGGAGGGAATGCATAAAGCGGGCGGCTGGGCCAGGTCTGGGCTAGCGCGTCCTCGCTCTTTGAGAAAAATATTGGGCAGTGGGTGTTCTCTTCTGAGGCGAAGAGGTCCACTTCTGCTCTGCCGAATATTCGCCACAGCTTTTGGACTGTAAGAGTGTGCAGGGACCCGGGGGGAATGAGGTTCCTGGACAGACTGTCTGGACCGTCGTTCAGATGGCCCGGCACGTGCGTCGCTCTGAGCGAGAGCAGGTGACACTGAGACCAACCTAAGATGCGTTCTGTCAGCGCGCGCCGTGTTGACAGACGAGCCGTCATCGTGACCGAGTCTAGCTCTATACCCAAGAAGGAGATAGTCTGACTGGGTTGTAGTGCGCTCTTTGTCCAGTTGACAGATACCCCTTTTCCACCAAAAACGAACTGGTTCGGAACTGGTGCTGGTTCAAAGTTGGTTCAACTTGCGAACCTTCTCAGAACCTGTTTGTTTTTCCACTGACTAGAGCGCCCAGCGAACGACGTCGTTACGTCACTGTGTACGTCGCCATACATCTTAGCTAGAAACGCTTGCAAGTACAACATTACTTTGGGATTATCTCTAACTCGTGAACCAAGAAGGCTTTAAAAACAATTGAAATATGTAAGTATTTTAATCTTTTCCTTTGATATGTAATCTTTTCTGATTAGTTATGTACTCCTGTCTTGTGTCTTTTTTTTTCTTTCCATTTATTTGTTCTATATTGTGACTGTTTTCTCCTTTGCTTACATAACGTTTTCAATAAAAAAATTAATTAAAAAAACTAGAAACGCTTGCGCCAACTTCAAGCATAACAATTACAATGGCGGACTACATCGTGTTTCTGCAAATGTTTCTCCTGGCTTTGCGATCCTATATTATGTCAGAAAATATGTTATCTAAATCCGCCCCCAGCCCCCGACGTAAGCATGACGTGGTAAAAGAACGGTTCTAGTCCAGCAAAGAGTTGGCGCCGCTTTGGAACCAGTTTTCCTGGCCGAGAACCGGTTCTTTGGCTGTCAAAACACAAAGAACTGGTTCGCGCGCAGGCACCGGCTCCGAACCGGCTCTCAAAATGCGTTGGTGGAAAAGGGGTAAGAGAGGCCCAAAGTTTTCAGATGGTCGAGGAGAACTGTACAATGAGACAGTAACTCTCTCTGTGATTGTGCCAACATCAGCCAGTCGTCCAAATAGTTCAGTATTCGCTGAATTCGGGGGGCGAGCGCCGCATCCATGCACTTCGTGAACGTACGGGGTGCTAGGGATTGGCCGAACGGAAGGACGGTGTATTGATAAACCTGGCCTTCGTAGGCAAAACGTAAGAATGGCCTGTGAAGGGGATTTATCTGAATCTGAAAGTAAGCACCTTTCAGATCTAGTGAAAGGAACCAGTCCCCCTGGCGCACATGTGCGAGGAGTTTTCTGATAGTGAGCATTTTGAACGGTCTCTTCATGAGAACTTTGTTCAGAAATCTGAGGTCTAAGATTGGTCTGAGGCCGCCGTCTTTCTTGGGAACCAGAAAATAACGGCCGTAAAACCCCGACTCGCTCATAGATAGAGGAACTCTCTCTATAGCCCTTTTGCACAATAGCTTTGCTATCTCTGAACGGAGCAGCGTCACTGCTTCTGGGTTCACAATAGTTTCTAGCCGCGCTCGAAAACGTGGAGGGCGGCGGTGAAACTCTAAGCGATAGCCTAGCTTTATTGTGTTTAGCACCCACTGGGAATTTCCCGGAATAGCTTCCCACGCTTTGAAGCGTAACGCTAGAGGGTGAATGGCTACATGGCAGAGATGCTCACAAGTCTCTGAGCTAGAGTCCAAGTCAAGTCTCAAGTCTCTGAGCTAGAGTCCAAGTCAAGTCTGAAGTCTCTTGTGGTTATAATAAGTGTTGCATCACGTACAGCGACTCAGGCTGCATAGAACACTGCATATCTATATATAAGTAATTCAAAGCATGTAATATGTTATTATGACTCCTTTATCTATTAGCATAAAGTATCAGCTTTGATTTTGGTATATAATCAGTGTAAACAGGCTATTGCAACATGACAAAAACACCAAGAATGGTTTACTTTTATGTCAATATCTGTATTTTTCCGTGAAAATATTTGTGCGATCTCTCAGCCGCGTGTGGCTCGTGATTCCCACGCCCCCGCCATCACTTGCAGATCCATGTAGGGCTAATGTGCACTGCCTACGCAACTAATCATAGCTTATAAACTACTGTAAGTCAGCAACACATCCCAGACTCTCAAACCAGTGTAACGTTATAACTAAATGAAACAACAATAATCCTGTAACCTGTTTGCAGACAACGTTAATAATTAACGTAATGGAAGCCAGCGGCACGTAAATTATTACGTTAATCGACCACCACAAGTTTGGCAATTACACAAACGCTCATTAATATTTCATAAGGAAGACAGTCGGAGTTAACCTCCCGTAACGTTAGGTTGAAGCTAAAGCAAGAAGCAAGCTAACGGTAGATGGTCAATGCTGAGCTAAACATGTTTACTGACCTCAGGGTGTGTTTTCAGATGCCTGATGAAATTAGATGTGGTTGAGCCAGAATCTTTTATCCTGATACCGTATATTTAGCATTGAGCGCTTCTGTTGTTTGGGCCGTCTTGTTTGAAGTTTTTAAACCCAAAGCTTACAGTGAATGGCACAGCAGCGGCCGGTGCAGTCGACATGTTTGTTTGTTGTCCTCTTATGTGTGGTCGCGCGCGCGCAGCCGATACGTAGTACGTGTTACGTCGGCAGGTTATAGGTAATGGAGGGAGGGGAATAACAGCGAGCTCATCAGACGTTTTCTAAAAATAAACATTGTTCACGAGTCCCGCAGCTCGAGGTCGAGTCTGAAGTCTTTCGAGGACGAGTCTCAAGTCGAGTCTGAAGTCACTGTGTGTGCGACTTAAGTCGCAATCGAGTCCCCATCTCTGCTACATGGTCCCCGTCGCTGCACATAGCGGGCTGCGTGAGCGCGCTCATAGTGTTTATAACAGCGGGACTTACACTCGGAGAGGAGTTTATAGGCCGTGTAACAGAGTGAGCAGAGGTGGGACGCGCACACGGGCTCGTGGGCGCGCTTATGCACTCTGAAACTCGAGCGGGTTGGAACCGCTTTATGAGAGTGGACTCTGTGTGAAACACGGGAACTGAAGTGCTTTTGTGTATGAGTGAACACAGTGTTGTGGGCACATTTTTTACACAGGAAGCTTTTATGTTCTTTATGAGATTTCTCTGGGTCGCCGTGAAAACGGCGTTTGTGCTCATGCAAGCGGGAAGGGGGACCGGCTTGGTAATGGCGGAGTACACTGCTGTAGTAGCCGCGTGAGCGGGGACTAACAGAGGGCGAAACTTTGACGGCGGTGCGGCCGCGGCGGGAGAGCGCCGTCTTTTTCTCAGCTGTGCTAGGCAGACTTCGAGTGATCAGGTTTCAGCGCGATCCTAGGCCGAGGCCCCCGAGGAGGCGGCGGTCTGTGGCGGCTGTCAGAGCGAGAACGAGGGCGACCGCCCTGGCGTCGCTGAAAAGTCTGACTGTGCTGAGCTGGGCGCTGGGGCTCGTGCAGGAGGCTGGTCACGTGAGCGGCCTGCAGAGGAGCTAGCGCGACGAGGCAGAAAGAGATTTATGGCCTGGGAGGCTTTCTGCACTTCGGAAAATCGGTCGACGATACCCGTGACAGCAGATCCGAAGAGGCCGGATGGAGAGAGCGGGGCGTTGAGAAAGGCGGCGCGCTCAGAATCTCCCATGTCGGCGAGTGTGAGCCACAAATGTCTCTCAGACACACAAATGGCGGCCATGCATTTCCCCAGGGCTTGAGCAGCAGATTTTGTAGCGCGAAGGGCAATGTCCGTGGCGCTCCTCAAATCCGCGACTGAAGGGGGATTTTTTCCGCTCTCGTCCCATTCACGAAGTATGTCACCCTGTAGTATCTGAAGGACGGACATGGAGTGAAGTGCAGAGGCTGCTTGGCCGGCGGCTGAGTAAGCGTGGGCGTGAAAGCTAGAAGTCGCTCTGCAGGCTTTAAAGGGAAGCACAGGTGATGAGCGCCATCTCGTGGAAGGCGGGCAAAGATGTGCGGCGACCAGGTCCTCTACAGGGGGAATGGAGAGATAACCCTTCTCTGCGGCTCCGTCCACAACGCGACGCGGGGTGGAAGAGCCAGAGCGAGTTCTAGCAGAGAGCGGGGCGTTCCAGGACTTCGTGAGTTCCGCGTGCAGTTCAGGCAGGAAGGGCGCGGCCCGTTTAGTGGCGGGAGTCGAGCGCTGGCGGAAGTAGCTGCCGTCCATACGGTTGATGGTCTGCTCGGGGGGAGGGGACCAATCGAGCCCGAGGCGTTCGACGGCCTGTGAGAGGAGGCGCACTAATTCCTCCTCAATTCCAGCGCGGGTCCCGGAGGATTCTCGGGTCGAGGAGGCGTGAGAACCGGACCACTCCTCACTGTCCGAGGCGAGAAGCGAACATGTTTCCTTGATGTCCGCGGCGTCATCGGAGGCGACAGAGCGGCCACTCGGCGGCAACTGTATGTCGGAAGCGGCGGAGAAGGAGAGCGGGAGGCGACAGGCTCCGGCGGGATGAAAGCTTCCAGCTGGGGTTCCGGCGGCCTCTGCGAGCGGCGTTTCTTCTTCCGCGGCGAAGTCAGAGGCGGCGCGGAAGCAACTTTAGTGGCCTGAAGTCGAGCCCGCAGGGTCGACAACGGCATGTCCTCGCAGAGATCGCAGCCGCCATCGGCGAGGGCGAGCTCGGCGTGCTCCAATCCGAGGCAGAGAGCGCAGATGACGTGGCGGTCTCCATCCTCAAAGGGGAGCGCGGCAAGAACCGCAGGAGGATTTACGAGACATCTTTAAAAAGACGCTCAGCTCTTTTAGATACAAAATGTACAGGAAGCTTTTTTTTGTAAAAAAGATACAAATCCGTCGGATGGCGCTAGCTCGCAGGACGGCTGAAGGTGGCGAAGACGGCCGGCTTCCTCAGTCTCCCAGATGCTCGCTAGAGTTGCCTTTTCGACGACGGCGGCTTCCCTCAGGATCAGCAGATGCGTGTAGCCTCGCTGAAGAGATGAAAACCAGAGTTTACAGCCTAGGACGCCAGTAATATACTCTCTGACCACGCCCGTTTCGGCGGGCTCTGACGTAATGAGAGCATGTCAGACTCTCATTGGCCGAGAGTTCATTCGCGTCTCCTCATAGGCAGTGACCAGCTCAGAGAGGTATCCGGGGCAAGACCATTGATGGCCTTAAAAACAAACATCAGAACCTTATACTCCACCCTAAACCGTACCGGGAGCCAGTGAAGTGAGCAGAGGACGGGGGTTATGTGTGAGCGTTTATGGGTATTGGTAAGGAGACGCGCTGCTGCGTTTTGAACCATCTGAAGACGGTTGAGAAGTGATTGGTTAAGCCCAGTGTAGAGGGCATTACAGTAATCTAGCCTTGAGCTGATAAAGGCATGAATGGCTTTTTCTAAGTCAGCACGGGACAGGAATGACTTCCCCTTACTGAGGAGCCTTAGCTGGAAAAAGCTAATCTTAACGACTGCACCAATCTGTTTGTCAAAATGCAATCTATTGTCGAACACAACACCCAGGCTGTTCACTTTTCATATAATCAACATAAATGAAATTAAAAAATAAAATTATAATATTTAAACATAATAATTAAACTAAATACGTTTTCTTTAATGGCTGCAACACGTATAGTATAGTACAGAGAGATGTCATGTCGGAGCGATACCGGTAACCATAAAACTGCTGTGTGTGTGTGTGTGTCAGCGCGGGCTGTGTGGAGGAGCTGTTCCCCAGGTACTCTCGTCTGCGTGTGGACTCGAGTGGCGCTGCAGAACTGCAGGTGTTGAGAGAGAGTCTGCAGAGAGAGAGAGAGCGCAGGAAGGTACTGGTATAGGTCTCTCGGCCCGAACCGTTTCTCTCACTGTGTTTACTCAACATCAACTTCTGTTGTTTCCTCATTCGTAAGTTGCTGTGGATAAAAGTGTATGTTAGATGAATACATGTAAAAGTTTATCAAGTGTAAATCCTCATCTGTGTGTGTGTGTGTGTGTGTGTCAGGTGTGTGAGCAGCAGGTGGCGTCTCTCCACAGTAAAGTTCTTCAGTTTCAGCAACAGCTAACACTCGCTGTGGCCGCCGACCGCAAGAAAGACATCATGATTGAACAACTCGACAAGGTACACACACTCACACACACACTCTCACACACACATTGTCACAAACACTCACACTCTCACACACACTGTCACACACTCTCTCTCACGCACTCACACACAAAATGACCCACAGTGCCACCTAGTGTCCATCCAGTGTTAATACTGGTCTAAGCAGTTTGAACATGGATTATGATATTTGACACTGATGATCTCCAGTATAATGTGTTCTAATTATGGTCATATTTATATTTAGATGTTTCACTCTGGAGTTTGTTTATGATTCTCATTAAGGGATTAAGAGTCTGGACACTACCATTATTATTATTACTATTATCATTATATATATTATCATGTGCGTGCATGTGTGTGTGTGTGTGTGTGTGTGTGTGTGTGTGTGTGTGTGTGTGTGTCAGACGCTGGTGAAGGTGGTCGAGGGCTGGAAGAGACACGATCAGGAGCTGAACGAGGAGATGAAGAGCCTGCAGGAGGAGAAGGAGGCGGCACAGAGAACACACAACAGACACACACAGGTACACACACACACACTCACTCTGCATGCCGTCACATGTGTGATGATGCTGTTAAACACAGGTGTGTGTGTGTGTGTGTGTCTCAGGCTCTGTCTCGTGTCGAGAAGAATCTCTCTCAGGTTGAAGAAACTCTAAACAAGGAGCAGAAACACAACCAGGAGCTGCAGAAGACCAACAAACAACTGGTAACTCTCACACATGAAGATGATGATGATGTGATGAAGATGATGTGATGATGATGATGGTGAAGATGATATGATGATGAAGATGATGATGATGATGATGATGATGATGGTGATGAAGATGATGTGATGATGATGATGGTGAAGATGATATGATGATGATGAAGATGATGATGATGATGATGATGATGATGATGATGAAGATGATGATGATGATGATGATGATGATGATGTGATGGTGTTTGTGTTCAGGAGCAGCAGGTGTGTGATCTGCGTGTGTGTGTGGAGGATCTCCAGCAGGAGGAGCAGAAGCTGCGCAGAGAAGGAGACCGAGACAGAGAGCAGCTCCACACACTCCAGACGCAGTCACACAACACACACACACAACTACAGCAACACATACAGGAGCTACAGCAACAACTGCAGGAGCTACAGCAGCAGCTGCACACACAAAGGGTGACTCACACACACACACACACACACACACACACACAACTACAGCAACACATACAGGAGCTACAGCAACAACTGCAGGAGCTACAGCAGCAGCTGCACACACAAAGGGTGACTCACACACACACACTCACACACACACACACACACACACACACACACACTCCCTCACACACACACACACACTCTCACACACACTCCCTCACACACACACACTCACACACGCACACACACACTCACACTCACACACACACACTCACACACACACTCACTCACTCACTCACTCACACACGCACACACACACACACACACACTCACACACACTCACTCACACACACACACTCACTCACTCTCACACACACACTCTCTGTCCATGACATTTGCATGTATGTGTTCAGGAGCGGGTGAAACAGGAAGTGGCTGGTCGTGAGGAGGCTGAGAACAGGAAGCAGCGGCTACAGGAAGAGCTGGACACGAGCAGGAGCGAGAGAGACGCTCAGATGGTGGAGCGAGCGATGGAGCAGGTCACACACAGATTGTTTTAAATATATTTTAATAATTACAAATAAGAAATTTTGGTAGAAAAATTTAATTATAAACATGATGAAACTAAACCACCAGTAGGGGGCGGCAGACGACCGTCTTAACGAGCGAGTCACTGAGTCATTCATTCAAACGACTCGTTCACTCGGCTGATTCGTTCAAAAATGAGGCAGTTCTTTATGAATGAGTGACTCAACCGATTCGTTCAAATAATTTTTATTAGTTAACATTATAGTTATTGTTACAGTTTGTAGTTACCGTTATCACTGCGTTATAGTTTTTATAGTTAATACTGTTATAGTTTTTTTATAGTTGTCATTAGTTACGGCTATATAGTTAGCGTTATATGTGTGGCGTGTGTGTGTTGTAGACGCGGTTCGAGGCGCAGAAGTCTCAGATGGAGGCGGAGTTTCGTCTGTCCCTGGAACAGCAGCTCACTGAAAGACTGACCGCTTTACAGGAGGAGAACGCGACACACAACACACAACTACGCCAACAACACAGGTACACACATCACTGGAGAGAAACATCAGTAGCTCAGGGTAAACGCTGTTAAGTAACGATGTGTGTGTGTGTGTGTGTGTGTGTGTTGCAGGAAGCAGTTGTTGGATCTGAGTGCGCGGCACGAGCGAGAGCTGGCGGTCCAACTGGATCACTTCACAACACAGTTACAGGAGAGAGACGACAAACTGCAGCAGCTCACACACACTCACCAACACAA